ATGTATAAATGTATAAATAAAAACATTTTCATATTTATTGATACATACATATATATGTATACATATACCTATAAATATATTTTTAGAGACAAGAAGCATGAATCTTTAATAAACTATATCCTTTATCAATTTGTTTCTGATTTAACTGTCCTTTTCTTTTTGTAATTATTTTGCTATCTGAATCCTTTACCCTAATTTGGGTAATCGGTGATTACTGATTACTAATCGCCATCAATGAGTATGTCATGTAATACTGCTAATTATGTTATAGTGTGTTTAAAATATTAAACACTATGTATATTTCAAAATAAAGTAATATTACATTATTATTTTAAAAAATAAAGTTCAAGTAAGAATGTTTGTAATTAATGTTCAAAAGCATGTGTGTACAGTAATATGTACCTCAAATTTTGCGAAACTCTCCGACCGCAACGCGCTCCGTTAACGAGAATAGGAGTAGAACTTGCTTTGTTTTGACTCGCTAACTGTTCAATGCAATCACTGCGGATTGGATACGCAGTAAAATGGTGGGCCTGCTTGCAAAAGCTGAGGGAGGTAGAAAAATCGTGCAAAACCTGAGGTATTATTATATGTACTTACATACTCTTATTTTAGTACACACCTTTTACAGTCAACTGTTCACCATTGAAAAGACTGCTTAATGTCATCATATGTTTTCAGTTGCATACATACTACACGAGTTGGGCACTTGTGAGCTGCTCAAAGCAGTGCCGACTCATCGCCGAAAAGATCTTTACCAAAACATCTTTGTGGCTTTGTTACACAAGATTTTTCAAAGTTTCTTTCGTCAGCTGGCACCGTAGTCTTAATTTTTTTCTCTATCAACATGATTATAACTCTGAAAAATTTGCAGCAACAGACGTTTACAGTGGAAATTGATCCAACGCAAACGGTAGGCGAATATAGTGAATGCAAAATGTGTAGCTCCGTGAAGTGTAATATACATTCTAACAACATTTTTTCTATAGGTAAAGGATCTAAAACAAAAGATCGAAACCCAGAAAGGTTTTCCAGCTGAACATCAAAAATTAATATATGCTGGTAAGCGATATGTCTTACATAACCTCATTTTCTTTTAATAATCGATTTATTAAATGTTTCAACTAACTTACGATTTACTGTATTCTCCGTAGACTTATTTCATTCGCTATCAATCTTAAGAAAGGATTCTGCAAAATTACAGCGTATTCTAGTTAATTTTTTAAAATGCTATTATTTTCTTGTGATGATGACTTGTAATTTATCACTCGTATCGTAATCGTATTACTAATTTTACAGGAAAAATATTAACGGATGACCATCCACTAACAGAATATAATATAGATGAGAAAAAATTCATAGTTGTTATGGTAACGAAGCTTAAAACTGGCAGTAATCCTTCGGCTGCTGAAGAGGAACACACGGAAGGCGACAATAAAGAAGAAAGTAGTACAACCAGGTACAATACAATATTTTCAAGAATTTTATACTTTATATTTAAGTTGTGACAAAATACGTTTGTAATAAATGATATACTTATTTTGACTATGTTTTGTTAAGCTCTTCTTGGTTTTGCCTTTTGTCTTAGCTCAGCGGCACCACCTAGTACAAATCCAACTACTCAGACTGCACCACAGCCTGCTAGTAATGTACAGGAAGAAACTGAAACAAGTACTACCACCGAGCCTGTTGGAGGTCAAGCCGAAAGTGCCTTGTTAATGGGTGAAGATTATAACACTATGGTAAACAACATCATGGACATGGGGTCGGTATTTATTTTATAAAACTACATAGCTTGTTCATTCTTATGTGAAAGAAACCATGAGTTTTTAATAGCATTGGAATTAATTTCTTTCACATTTTAAACACTTTAAAAGACAATGGTCTGTTTTACTTAAGTTTGGACACCTGCATATTACAGATATCTATTTATAACTTTCCAAGTTCTTGTCTTACGAATGTAATTTGTATCAGATACGAGCGTGATCAAGTGGAACAAGCATTAAGAGCCAGCTTCAATAACCCGGATAGAGCTGTCGAATACCTTTTAACGGGTATACCGGCTCAGCTCTTTGAAGATCCGCCAGAAGATCCACCAGAATTACAAGAAGCGCTTCAAGATCATGCCCATCATCCGCTAGCATTTTTGAGAATGCAGCCTCAGTTTCAACAGATGCGTCAAGTAATTCAACAGAACCCTCAACTCCTGAATGCTGTGCTCCAACAAATTGGTCAAACTAATCCAGCGCTGTTACAACTTATTTCTCAAAATCAAGAAGCATTCGTGCGCATGCTTAACGAACCTGGTTAGTTTTCTCGTATATTACGTTGGAGAATGCAATCGGTATAACGCAAAATAGTTATCAAATATTGTCCCCCCGTTTTGTACCTGTTATTTTTGAGTAGTAGAAACAACAGGTGGCACAGGCGCAAGAACCACACCGGTATCCGCATCATCTATTACATCAGCAATTACTCCTGCTGGTTTAACTGGAGGGCCGGGCGCAGGATTAGGAGCAGGAGTAGGAGCTGGCGTTGGAACTGGGACTGGGGTTGGCGCTGGGGCCGGAGCTGGAACAGGAGCAGGTGCCGGTGCCGGTGCTGGTGCCGGCGCCGGCGTCGGCGTAGGGTACGGCATAATTCAGGTAACCCCACAAGATAAGGAAGCTATCGAGAGGTTGAAAGCATTAGGCTTTCCTGAACATTTAGTTATACAAGCTTACTTTGCGTGTGAGAAAAATGAAAATCTTGCTGCTAACTTTTTGCTATCACAAAGTGTTGATGACTGAAGCAACGCGCTTCATTGATATCATAAAACGGAGTTAAAGGACTGATATAGGGTGGGTAATTACACAGGCGCCGCATATTACTTTTGACTGGTCACCTTTGTTTTGTATATAAGTATGCACACATATTTATATTATTTTTTATTAATTCTCTAACTAGATGTATCAGCCTTGTTTTTGCTGAATCTTAAAAATTCAATAAATTTATTTTACCGACTGCTCAACATATCAAATTATTTGTAGAGTTAAATACTTTTATTTCAAAATATAAACTTTTATATATATATATATTAAGATTGATATACAATAGTTTGCATCGGTGTTGTAATCCATCCTTGCAGTCTGACAAATTGCCCTACAGCAAAAAAAATTTTTGTTTTCTAAATATATGGAGCAGTGTAATTACATTTTTATGTAAGAAAGCCTGATTGTTTAATAAACATATATGAAGAAAATATAAATACATTATTGTATTTATATCTTATATAAAGTTACAATGCAATGACGCACATACATGCAAATTTGTATACGCTGGTAGAGTGTATTCAAAACGTATATATGTGTATAACACATATAATTTGTACATTTAATAGGCTTTCTAATATAAAAATTATGTAAGTGCATCCGTATATGTATGACTGCATATGTATATATGTGTGTACTTGCGTATAACTTGCGCCTATGTATGTATGTATAAAAAAAAGTCTTGTATTTTTTAAACAAAAGTTAAGAAGACAGTTGTTCATCAATAAAGCATTACCAATCATTTCATTTGTGACAAACTAACAAAATGTAAGAAATACTAAAAGAGAAATGAAAATTTTAGTAATACACGCATTCGAATCTATTCAAATTTTGTTCTGGACCTCAATATCAAACCATATTTTCTCATTGAAAAGGGAAACA